GTAAAAATATATAACTAATAGAGCTAATAGTATATTGTTCGTGAAAATCTCTTATAAAATAATATAATGTATATGCAAAAGAGGTAAATGAAACACTTAATAAAGCTAGTGAATTACTAAAAAAAGGCACTCTGGATGACGCAGTGAATTTAGTGGCTGTTTTGACTTTTTTTAATGGATTAATAGCTACTCGTATGGCTATTAACATAAAAATAAATCTTTCTGGGTTTTTAATTAAATCACTCAATATTACAATTATCGAAATGATAAAATTTAAGAAACTAATCATATATTTTTCGTAAATTAAAAACTTAAAGCCGTGAATTAAAAACTCTAAGTGATTAGATGTATACACCAATTTAATTTTTACTGTACTATAACATATTGCAAGTAATGAATATAGTAAAGCCATAAAATAAAGTTTCATGCGAGTTGGTTGCAATATCAAAATATTCATAGCAGTAAATTGATATACAGGAGAAGCAAATCGACATAGAGTTATGAGTGGAAAACCACAGATAAGTATATCAAAAATTGGAGAAAATATGCCAGTATAAAATAGAATTCTTGATTAATTATGAATTCCTGAATAATTATATTTAAGAAAAACCAATTCAAGGCACAAAATAGGAAATGCAAAGACATAAATATCAAAGATCTTTGATATATAGTATTTTATTTTTTTAGGGAGAAAGTCATAATGCTTGATTTTTTTAGGGAAAAGTCAATGAGTAATGAAGCAATAACAATAAAATATTCTAAAGCATGTAAGATACTGTTAAAAATTTTATCTGGTTCGATATCCATAAAATATATTGCAAGAAATAAAAAAAATGAAGACTTGTTAGATGTTTTATGCCAATAAATATAGAATTTAAATAGCAAAAACAGATGAAAAGTATTTGTAATTTTTAAAGTGTAACTATAAAATAATTTCTTCTATAGTTCTTTGGCATTAACTAGAGATATTACCCAATGTTACATTACATATGGCGATATATGATTAAAAGTATCAGTATTATTATCAAATTGTTACTGTACCCGTATCGGGTAGAGCCAAATGCCCGCTCAACAAGTTCTGAAGTTATTAGTATTATTTATTTCCTCTCAGGAAATAAATAAATAATCCCCAGGAGCGTGTCACTAGATGTTAATCGAACTGCCTTCAACTATTTTTTACATATGATTATCTATAATAAAGATTATAATTTTATAAATACATTTTACTTTTATTTGTTTTACTTTCGCTTTTACTTTTTTATTCATATAACTACGTCATTATGTGATTAGCTAATATTTATAGCAAAATTTTATATCATGATTAACTTTTACTGTGTTTCCTTACTCTCGCTTCACATTTACTACGCTTTTTATTTTCACCTTACTTTCACTGTACTTTTTTTTTTTTATCTTTGCTTCACTTTATAACTTTCGCTTTATCCTATTGTATCTTTTACTTTTACTTCACTTTACTATACTTATCTTTACGTTATTACATTTTTTGACCTGATTTATTTTTACTACATTCTTTACTTTTACTATACTTCTTATCTTTATTCCACAACAACTTTATCTTTATTTTTTATTATCATCCTATTTTATTAACACGTAACTAATAATATAATAATTATATTATACTTTACTTGTTTTATAGAATTTTTGTTTACTTATATTTATTTTTTTTAAATAGTATGACTAGATCTAATTCCCGATTTGTTGCAGCTAGGGTTCCTCAAAGTCAAATCGAATCAAATATTTTGTTAATTTGAATTTGATTTGATTTGAAATTTCTGTATTTG